GCAGCTAACTGTTAAAGCAAATAACCACATCACCAGCTGGACTCTCAGATCAGCAGCAGACTGGCAAAAAAAAAAAAAAAAAAAAAAAAAAAAATGACCATGTTGCCAAACCAATGCATCATTGAACTGACCATCAAGGAAGATGACCACAGCATTAACCTGGTCTGGTGATCACTGAGCTACTTGCCGTCAGATGTTACCATGTTACCGCTCCAGCCATGTTACCATGTTACCGCTCCAGCCAATGGTTCTGCAAAAGGGATCTCAGTGACCGTATTTGTATCCAAAACCAGCAAGGTAAGTCTAAAGAGCATCCAATACCCTTCTCACTATGACTTTAACCTAAACTGGTAACAGTAATATTATGTCACTTGATTGCAGTAGGTGTAGTATGGGTAAATACATACCCAGAGATGCTATATGGTGGATTATATATATATGCTTTATTTTGTTTCAGGTTTTTTTTTTATTTCAATGAAATGCAAGTTCTTTGCCTTGATATGGATGTCAAATAAAACACTGCCACCCTCTTGTGATGCATGCCTTGAACACCTCTATCTAATGCTCAAAGTGTTCGGGCATATATTGCTCAGGTGACAGTGTATTATCTTACATGCGAATCTTGGTGGCATTATGGTTCCCAACGAGAATTCTACGTAATCTGATGACAGTGAGAGTACCTTGGTTAAAGCTGTGTGAATCTTTAAGAACCTGTATCAATATTTTGAGCTTTTGTTACTTATTTCCCACCTCCAGCAAATTTTTTTATGTTTTTATCGCATCACATCTTGTCTATTTTAAGTTTCAGGTTGTTTCTGACTGTATTATCTCAGATGGGAAATAGTATAGGAAATAATTAATTAATAGCACTTTGACATTTACGTATTTGCAGGAATGCGGGTATACACATTAGGATTTGTAAATTGATGTAATAATATGTGGTTGTGTAAGATGTTCATTAATACAATTGTTAATTTAACAAATATCAATACAAAACTGACCAGATTTCTTGATTTCATTTAAGCTGTGTGTAATGGTAGAGGTTTTACCAATAAAGGGGAATAAATTGTTTTTAACCTATCAATACATGAACTTGATTAGAAAAATTTGATTTTGTGGTCTCCAGCCAAGTGGTAACTGTCGCTAGACCTCCATCGCACACCTGCATTTTGCTGGAATAAATATTGTTAATAAGAGCTAATTAATAGATGACTTATTGGTCTACTGTGAGATTTAAAACTCTTAAATAACAGGTTCATTAATTTGTTTGTCTGTAAATATTAGATTATGCAAAACGAATTCTTTCTACCAGAAAGGAAAACATGGTGAAATTAGTTCTGTCAATTAATCTCACCTATGGATTGTTTACACAGAAAACAGTCAAATGTGTATAATAAATGTTTGGACAAAACTTACACAAAGGTGTCAAAATGACTAAAAAATTGAAATTTTTACATTTGGCCCTTTGCTCTGGCATGCAAATTAAAACTTGGCCTTATTACAGACAATTAAGCAGAACTTGTCCAGTCAAATCCCTGTACATATCAATCATGGATGACATTGTGTGCACATCCGCTCAGTGTCCTGTCTCCTAATGCACACAGATATGAATGAAAGGCTTGTTTTGGTGGGTGACATGATGATAAATTGTTCGTGTGCCATTTAAATCTATTGAAGGCTAATGCATGGCACTTGAAGAATGCCCAGCTGTTTTGACCAATTTGTTGGCTGAGGTCAGTGAGAGAGAGAAAGGGGGGGAGGGAGGAATGAAACAGAAGAATGGTAAGAACGATGATTTAGAATGGGAAAGTGAAAGTGGAGAGATGAGGAGAGAAGGCATGAAATAAAGAGGAAAAGAGGATAGAAATAAATACTGCTTGAGAATGTAATAGGAGATGAGCAAGGGGTTGAAGGGGGGAGGAGGAAAGAGTTCTGAATTGGAAATCACAGGAGGCAAGGCCTTCATGAAAACTGCATCTGTGCTTGATTTCTGTTTATATTTGAAGCACGATGTTTCAATACTTGTGTAGTTTTTATTTTTTCCTGCAGTATGCTGTATACTGCAGAATAAAAAATTACCAAATCTTTGAAAAAGTTGCATTTAACTGATGAAATTCTGTTGCAAATAATCAGTTTTGTAATTTATAATTGTCTGGTTTTCTTTCTTTGTTTTTGCATTTGTTCTTTCTATCTCATTCATTTTATTGTGAAAAGTAAAAATCAATTAAATCAAAACACCTTGATGTTTAAAAATGTTATTGTGAATGGCTAGATGCCTTGCAAGTGGAAACAATTGTGAAAATTTGATTTAAGATATATACAGTCTCCATAATTATAATCATCAATTGAATATATAATGAACCTGGATTGTGTTGGAGATAAATAAAAATAAAATCTGTTAAAGATGACAAACTTTTATGAGTTATTTTTCTACACATTCTGAGAAAGCAAAACTCCCTGTCTCGATGTGTGTTCACAGCAGGATAAAGTGGATTGGGAGAAGTCTAACTGATGATACCAAACAGCCAGGTAATTCAACACTCATCAATCAGGTAGTTATGTGTTTTCAGCTCATCATTTTAGTTTAAGATAGAACTGTTCTGAATGCACTTTGAGTGTACCAAGGAAATCATACAGACTGCCAATCTGGCTGATGTGAACCTCTCCTGTTAGATATGTTTTTTCCGTGTGTTGCTGCCCTTCCTGCTGCTAGTGTTTATCCCAGTTAGGGTGGAGTCCCCAATTATGTTGCAGTTATGAACAAACTAGATCATCTACTAGGGTAATGAGCAGACTTTTAAATGCCACAAGACCTCAGCTTATGGAGAAGGGTCTAGCAGAAGGTTACCAAGGACTGCTCATTTCCTCCCCTGTCCAATCACACAGGTCTGAAAACCATGCTCCCAGAGGCTTGCTGCGTATTTGAATATATTTCCAATGTCTGGTTGAGAGGCTGTGAGGTACAATATGCAGGAATGATTTCAATAACTCACCGAGATTTACCGTTTATGCTGTGGCAGTTGCAGGTTATTTACATGATGTATGTACGTGTGTGCGTGCATCCACGTCCAAGTTAAAGAGTTTACATTTGCCCATGCCTTGGGGGTTAATATTTTTCACCATTCACTTGCACAATCTGGTTTATTTTTATCTAAGCCTGGGTTCCCATACCTAGATCGATCTAACAGGATCGGTCCATCTCCAAGGGGTTTCTGCTAAATTGCTTTCAGTGCCTACTAAAACTTCTAAACTATAAGTAATTACCCCCTAGCTGCTTCAGCAGGCGTGACAGACATCTAAGCTGCTTTAGTTGATTGCAATTTAGCAAGAATCCCCTTGGAGATAGAGCGATCCACAGTTAGTACTCTGGGAATGGTCTCTAAGACCCCATTTCCATAGATTTTAGATCGATCTATCCCCGTGGGGAGTCTCACTAGATTACTTTCAGCTTAGCCGGCTTAAGCGTCTGTCCCTCCTACTGAAAGCTGTAAGGGGGTAATTAACTATGGTGCGCACTGGGCTGACTGCAATTTAGCGTGAACCCCCAGGGAGTTAGGTCGATCTAAATCTTAATCTCTGGATCGATCTAAATCTCTGGGAATACACCCTAAGAATCATACCATTTACTATGCATAGGATTTAGCATCCAAAAGTTACAATTCACTTGCCCATAACCCGGGGACTAGTGTAGTTTCTAACCGGTGTGAATACCTTATTTTGTAAAGGGGTGTTACTTTACTTGCCTAATGATTTTGTCAAGTGCCTTCATATATTATCATCATCAGTTGAGTGAGATTAATTTCATTTGTCTTATATGTTGTATTTCAACCACAACTAATTTTTACCACAAAGACGAAA